TAGAAACCAGGAGATTGTGAATTCTAGTCCTGCTTTAAGCATGAAACCAGGTGGGTGACTTAATCAGTCAGTAATTTTCTCTTAGCTCTAGGAAGGAAGCAAAAACAAATCACTTCTGAAAATTCTTGCTAACAAAACTGTAGGGATTTGCCCAAGCAGTCTCTGAGAATTGGACACAGCTGAACAGAAGAATGTCCATAGACTTTGAACAGAATAAAAAAAATTCAAACAATCCAGCAATTTTATGCATAGATGCAACAGCAGAAGGATTCAAATATGCATAATCACAAAATACATAACTTACAACTTACATAGCTTACAACTTGCAGAATTCTTTGCAATTGCATGCTGGTTGTGGAATTCTAGGACTATAAAGTCATATCCCTGGCAGATACCATGGTTGTGGAAAACTGCCATGGAAGAATTGTTTCTTCAAAATCTTTCTGCCATATCAGTAGTGTGGGAAGAATAATACTGACCCAGTTTAAAGGGCTTTGGTAAGGACTATAAGAGACCTGGTACAACATATATATCTATTTTACATCAATGATTTTCTGGATTGGGGCCTTGACATGCAAACATAGTGGTTTCATTAGTCTCTAGGTAAAATTTAACTTAACCAAGCATGTAACTAAACCACATAGTTGTGCTAGTGGTTGCAGTTGAGGACACAAAACCACAATTGTTGCAGTTCTACTCCCTTCATTTGGCATTAGTACTTAAGGTTTATTTTTCCTGTTGTAATCATGAGAATCAGGAACTTATTTTCTTCTTATTTGTGTATTTTAAAAAAATCTCATCTTTAAAAATATCAAGTGGGTACAGCAGATGAATGAGTGAGAATAAAAGAGGAAGGTGAAAAAGGATTCATATTTCAGCAGACTTGCATGCAAAATATATATATATTCCATTATTATTATTATTGTATTGCCAACTTTTCTCTTAACCAGATTTCCTGGTTTTTGCACAGTACAATCAGCTACAATGTCTTGGTGAAGAAAGTTGTAACCTCCAGGGTTTCACCCTGTCGTTCTCCTATCAATCTCAGTTATTAATAAGCAGCACAAAAATTCTCAAGAGAGTTTAATCTTCTTACTTCTCTGTATCTTCCGGCTTCAACAAAGAAATATAGATGCACAAAATAAACAGAATAAATTGCCATTATTAAAGAAATTAAAAATTCAAGCTGGAATTAACTAGGTATCTTGCAATTGTCAACAATCAAAACAGACTATTAACTCCAACAGTCAAAACTGAAACAAAAAGAAATCCACAGCAAATAAACTAAACAAAAAGTTTTCCAGGGAGTGAGAGCAAAATTACCAAACACTATTTTGTGAAATAGTGGTTGAAAGTCTCTATGGAAAGTAATTAAGGAGTCAGTCTAATTTCAGCTGGGTGGCCGTTCCAAAGGGCTAGTGCTATCACTGAGAAGAAGTTCCTTCTAGCCTCAGCACCGCTTATTGCCTAAATATGGGGGATCATGAGCTGATTATCCTGGAAAAATCAGGTAGGTTGAGTACCTTTGTTGGTGAATTAGTATTCAGAGCAGCAGAGTTAGGATTAGTGAACTCTAAACAAGGCTGTTGGATGACAGCCTGCCAGTCAATAGATAAGGAGACATCATTGCCTTGCCCAGCCTGATCTTGGTTGTACAGGCCAGATCTGTCTGGCCATCATCAAGTTATGGGTGGAGAAAGTTTTGTTACAGTAGGACTCAGAATTGACCAGAAGTACCTTGAAGCTGCTCTATCACCTTGATCCCAAGATAGCATTTCAAATTGGAGATCCCACATCTCCCCTGGAAGGCTTACCTCGTATCATATATTCTGCTGAGTTACGGAGAGCCTTGTAATTACTGAGGTTGTAACAAATAGAGGAAGGGAAGTTAACAATTTCCTCCTTTGGGGTGGACCTAATTAAAAAAAAAATCATCCAAAACTTGTTTCGTAGCCTTCCAAAACGGGCTACAAATGGAAATTGTCCTCCTTTTTGCAGGCTCCAAAAAGAGTGAGTATCTTTCTCATCCTGCTAAATCTCTGATTTTCCCCATACTAATATCCTCCCTCATACCAAATTGTATTGGGGGGGGGGAAATCCCCAGTTTATTATAAGTTTGGAAAGAATGGGGGCTTCCCAGTTTCTGTGCCCTCACACAAATAAATTACCTTTTCAGTGGTGAGTACATTGGTAGACCCCTGGCTTTTTGTTTGCTTAACACACATGGTGTTTTGTTAAGTGGTTCTAAATTCCTAAATGGAGCTCGAGTTCAGGGGTATCAGACTTAAAATCAGACTTTAATAAAAGGTGTTATAAGGACAAAAGTTAGTTAAAATATGATGCTATCTTAGAAATGGAAGTGTTATTTTTGGCAGTAAGATTCATCGTCAAGCCCTACTGGGAACTTATTTTTTCTTTTATATGACACACTGCTTATTCTATAATAGTGATTCAATTCTTAATGAAATATTCGCAGCTGTTTAATTTCAGCATTGATCTTAAACTTCCAATAAAGCTGCTGAATATTGGAGAAACCATTATCCCCTCTGAAGGGATTCATGAGCAATATATTTTCTTTTTTAAAAAATAAATTTTATTTGGGTTTTCACAAACTATAATACAAATAAAACATCTTTTTTTGAGAATAGCATGATCCTGGGTTATCACTTCTCCATACAGACACAAACTCAATTTCATATTCATCTTTGTGTTCTATTCCATCTCTTATTAATATTTTAACATTTTCTCCGTAATGTTTTCTCTCCCTTAGTTTTCTCAACCTTGTTTTTAATTCTCACACCTATCTAAATTCAATTATATATCTTTCTCTAAGTTTCCATGTCTTTCTAATTATTATATTTATACTTTGTCTGTCCTATTTCAATTTCGTATATGAGCAATATATTTTCAACAGCAACAAAAGTTTGGCAGAACGGAATCAACCCTTTCTTTAAACCCTCCACTATACTGAGAAGATGGTTGTTGACATATCCAAGATATTATCCATGTTCAAATGGAAAAGCATTGGAGAACTTTATTATTATTATGATTCTATTTCCTGCTTTCTTTGCACACACGGATCTTGGATCTAAACCTACGTTTTATCCAAAACATTATTAGAATGTCGTACCACTAATGGCAAACCATCTAAGAATATTGTGACAAGGGTACAGTACCCTTGCAGTACACTTTTAGGATACTTTTATTTATTTATTTAAAAAAAACTGGATGGAAAAGTGTCCCAGTTGAAACTTGGACTCACTTTGATAACCAATGAAAATGTATGATCATCAAGAGTTGTCCTTGTCTTTACCTCAATGGTAGACAATTCATTTGGTCTGATAAATACTATTGTAATTGACAAAAGTAAGTATTTGGATACACAAAAGATTTCTTGGAAGAAGCTTGCCCATTTTTCAAAATGCCTCCCATGGATTCTTGTAAAAATTAGGTAGGACAAGGGCCTGGGGAATTATTAAACTTTTACCTTAATTATCCTTGCTAAAGTTATACCTCTGAAGTGAACTTTCAATCTTTCCCTCTCTAGCATTAAGTAATAAGCATTAATTAAGGCCAGGAATGAGAATTATCCCTACTGCTGCGATTATTGCTAAAATAATCTTGAGACCTCAGAACTAACTTCACAATAGCCTTTCTCAAGTTGATGCCTCCAATTGTATTTCTAGAATTCCTATTCCCCCTAGGGACCCACAATTCTGGAAGTCGCACTTCTGTTACATCTGGACATAAACCAGATTTGAATTATCCATGGCTTCATTCTCAACAGTTGCATACACCTGCACCATAAAATCTAAGCCATATTTTTATATTCTTTATTTGAAGACTATAAATGACAAACTTGGGCTACTGCTCTATTTCACTGAGATTCCTAGGGCCTCTGAAGAAAGATGACATTTAGGCCAATTAAATCCACTGCTCCATGCTAACTCCCCATCACCTACACATTATCCTTTATTTGATATTGGAGACACAACTGGGAGTAATCACTGCAGTGACTCTCTGTGAAGCATTCCTGATAAATTACAAAGGGAATTCACAACCTCGTATCAAGTTTTACTGATAGATGATTTTCTTTCATTTCTTACCTGTTTCCTAAGAGATGTTGTCAGGGAAGGGGATTTTCCTTGCAGAGGGCATATGAAATTAGGCAGAGCGCCACAATATAACCATAAATTTGCCAATTGCTTAATTTTTCATTACTGAAATAATGTTACTAAGCTGGTTTCTATATCAGCACATAAGAGTAATTTATTTTGTGATGCAATGTTGGCCTCATAAAGCATCCTTGGAAAATCCCCTACATTTATATGCTCCAGGACACTCTGATTTATTCATTTATAATGTTTATTTATAATATTCTGGTAATGTTGTTGACATATGTCACGTATAAGTGCTGAAATCATCACCCACTGCTGCTCAGAGCATTTCTGGTGCTGCTGTTGCTACCTAACTGCCACTAGTTATAAACCCCTGAAATTTGAACTTACAACTTAAACTTATTGTCTGCATTTTTTGTAAGATATGGCAAAATCTAACAAATTACATGTCCACTATTGTTTTGGCACAGAAATATTTTAGAGATCTACTCGCACAGAATCCCTTGTGAAGGAATGAAGAAATCTCCACTGCCTGAAGTATGAAATATCCTGAGTTCAGATAGTGTTTTATCTGTAGGGTTAATCAACCTTTTTTCCCTTATCTGTACAATGGAAGGATGAGGTAGTGCCAAGAGTATTGTATGTGGATCAGATTTTAGTATATTAACTCACTGAAGAAAAGATAGTTTGCTCATGATAGTTGTAAGTGAGACTGACTTCAGAAGTCAGCTCTGAAGGAAGTTGTTATGGCTTTTTCTACCAATAATGGCCCAGAAAAGTTGCAGTAAAAGGAAACAGAACAGCTGGGAGAAATTGCTTTCTGTATTCAAATATTCATTATTGACATATTTTCAGGCTTTGCCTATTTTTGTCTTTTGTTAGAGTAAACTTAGCCCTGGCCTACACAGAACTAACTGAAGAGCTATGCCGCCTAAGAAACCTAACTTCTCTTCAAAGTCAGATTCTCCGGACTCTTATGCAGGAGCAGGTCATGAATGGTGAGTGGAATTTGGGCATAAAGGAATGACTGTATAGATAGCCTGCAGCAAACTAGGCTTAAACTATGTTCACAGAAGGTTGAGGTGAGGTTTCTTCTTCTTCTTCTTCTTCTTCTTCTTCTTCTTCTTCTTCTTCTT